TTTTTTTGCACCCTCAGATTCCAGTTTTTTAAATAGTTGTATCTCGGCCAAATATTGTCAGATCCTAAATAATACATCAATGGAAAGCTTATTTATTCAGCTTTCAGATGATGCATAAATCTCAATTTTATTGAGATTATTTATAAATCCTAATATCCTAATATTATTTATCCTAATATCCTTATTTAATACACAATATATGCATTTTAAATGTTTTTAATTTAATATATGCATATGCATTTGAAATCTACAATCTTTATTTAATATATGCCTTATAATATATTTTATTTATTAATTTGTGCATTTTAATTCTACAGTTGTTATTTATTCGACTATGTTATTTATTATCAAAAAAATCTAAATATTGAGAAAATCATCTTTAAAGTTGTCCAAATTAAGTTCTTAGCAATGCATATTACTAATCAAATTAAGTTTTGATATATTTACGGTAGGAAATTTACAAAATATCTTCATGGAACATGATCTTTACTTAATATCCTAATGATTTTTGGCATAAAAGAAAAATGTATAATTGTGACCCATACAATGTATTGTTGGCTATTGCTACAAATATCCCCCAGCGACTCAACACTGCTTTTGTGCTGCAGGGTCACATTTATGCATTTGAAATGTACAGTTTTTAATGTCATGTATGCATTTTAAATCTGCAATCTTTGAAGTGGCTGTTCACTCTGACTCCCTCTAGTGGACGAGGCTGGATCTCATTGTTTAAACTGGTCTATTGTTCCTCAATCATCTTTGTACAGACACTCTTTTGGGATTTTTGTAGATGTGCACACAAACATATTAAAAGTAGAGAACTAAACAAGCAAAATCAAGTACAGACCTGATATGCAAAAGCAGCTTGTTGTGACTTACCTGAGGCGTTCCTGCGGTAACATGAGGAGGTTTTGCACAGTCCACCTTCAGGCCTCGTTGGCGCAGTAGGCAGCGCGTCAGTCTCATAATCTGAAGGTCGTGAGTTCGAGCCTCACACGGGGCAAAAGTTTTAGTTTTGCTAGAGCAATGACATTCAGTGCTGTTGTTTATTGTTTGAATTTGTTGAAAGTTGCTTTATTCACACTTTTTTCCATTAGCAGCAAGCAGTTCGCATTGTTTAATATCAGGTCTACTGGAAATGCTGCCATCTGGTGGGTGTTTTTACCATTAACGGCAACCATTACAAATATTTTGTTACCTGAAATATAATTATTTTATACTTATTTTTAGTTAGCAACATTTCTCATTTTTGTTCAGTCTAAGCATTAAAATAACTCAAACTTAATTCATAAAAACCACACATTTAAAACTAATATAATTAACAAAAAACTATGAAATTAGAATGAAAATGGAACATAAAAAATAAAACATTAATAAAAACTGTAATAGTATGTAGGAATAAACAAAATCTTAATCCTAAAAATTATTTAAAAAGACATTAAAATAAATTAAATCTGAAATTAAATTGAAAAAGAAAATAATAATACATAAAAGCTAAAATCTAATTCAAATCTATGCTAGTAAGCAGACATAAAATGAATAAAAATGATAGAAAAAGAGCCTTATTGAAACAAATTAAAATGTAATTGGAAAATATAAAAATAATTCAAAACATTAATGAAAACTATAATAGTAAAACTAATAAAAATGACAAGAAAATACAATTATTAAAAAAGTAAAAGCTAAAACATAAATCAAACAGTTGCAGAAGCAAAACACTGGCCCGTACGGGGATCGAACCCGCGACCTTGGCGTTATTAGCACCACGCTCTAACCAACTGAGCTAACCGGCCTGGGGGCCAACCTTACTGAGTCACTGTTTTGGAAAAATGAGTACATATTTCATGTCAAAGTCAGTGGGAAATCAAAGAGATGCAAAATCCTACGAAAACAAGTCTAGTTTAGAAGAGTAGCGTCTTTTCGTAAGTAAAACGATGTACTAATGAGATGTTTTCTCTTATCTTAAAATAAAACAATTAAGTAATTCCCAAGTGATCGTTAGATCTTAAAATGGGAGTCTTTAAATGAGTTTTCCAGTGAACGCATATCGAGGGAAAAAAACAGTTTTCTCCCCGTCGGGGAATCGAACCCCGGTCTCCCGCGTGACAGGCGGGGATACTTACCACTATACTAACGAGGAGTGATATTAAGGGTCTTATCAACCCCATTTGCTGCTACACTCTAGTCAACCTGCTTTTACTATTAAAAACAAGAGGCAAAACCGGTTTGGTAGCATTGCAGTAACAAAAAAACACTTTTTTAACTCACCTCTTACCTTGATGTTGTATTGCGGCACTTGTGTCATGGTCTCCTGATGAATCTCTAACGTTGAAGTGCTCAATTGTAAGCAGGGTCTGAAAATAACAACCAACAAGCAGAGAACTTGTCACAGTAACTTGTCTCCGTAAGTTGTGTTCCAAATTTGAAGTTTATATAAAAAAAAATTGAGGTTACCATGCAATTTTGTTTAGATGTTATACCAAAAACAGCCATCGGGTGCCACCCAAACTCCATTTTTTTGTCACAAATCTATCAATTTCTTTCTCAATATTAGGTCTATCACAAAATAACCACCAAATATGGAATCTTGAGACTTTCCAACGATATGTATTTTGTCAAGATTATAAAACGTTTTGATTCTAAAAGACTGTAATGTGTGTTTTTGACCTCCCGAACAAAAACACACGTGAACAGGACGGAGAAATGAGCGATGTCTTGTGTAAACAGATGCATATGAAAAATAATGCGATCATCAGCAATAGACAGCATATAAATGAAAACTGCATAATGTTACGGAGTAAAATGTTGATGTCTGTGCAAGCTTTGGAGGTGTTGATGGAAGCGATTTACTGGATTTATGCTTTGATAATCGTACGGAATATTATCCAGATGTAGCTTTTGATAAAAATGTGATTTTCTCACCTTTTTGCTCAAAATTATGCATTTTATATGAAACCTACCTATATTCAAGTGTTGATAAAAAAAAGACTGCTTTAAGCTAGAATAAAACGGATGTTATTGTTTAAAAGTAGAGTCAGCATCACCCCGTCCCTTAATCGCCGCCCTTCGCCAGGCTCCCGACATGAGTGGGTGCGTGAGAGAGGAGGGGCGCTGAAATAGCCAGGGCTGGCGGCGTGTGATGGGGCACACCTGAACCGAATGAAGCCTCATCGCCGCCGCTGTTTAAATGCCGAACGCGCCTCTTCCCCGTGCATGCACGCTGGTGTACTCGTGGGTCCAGGAGGGGTGCGTAGAGGGACTCCCGTACCGCCAGAGTCGTGAGCTGCTGGACCCGCAGTCCGGACGAGAACCGCACCCGTTACACGGCCGTCGTGCAAGGATGCTGGGCCGTCTAGTCCCTTCAAGCGCCGTGGGCAGAGAGAAGGACGAAGCCGCTGATAGAAGCCGCCGCCCCTCGCGCCCCGGACCGGAGAGGGGAGCGCGTGCAGCCGCCGGACTCCGCCCCTTACCTGGACCCTTCCTTCCTTCCTGACCACTGCCCTTCCCTGCACGAACCCCGCAGCACGACGAGGACACCAGATCCCCTGTTTATTTTGGACAATTGATTACTTTTTTTCTGGACACTTTGTTTATTTTCTGTTAATAAACGGTGTCTGTCGTTTGCTCCTCCCGCGACAACACCCATTAACGTAAACTACGCCAGAGCGCGTACACACCTCACGCACCGGATGCCGTGCGCGCGCTCAAAGACAGCTGGACATAGTGGTGTATTAGAGGGTAAAAAATGATATAAATACTGTTGGGTTTCTCGCACAAAGCGATCGTTTCGGGTGTTAGGACATCAATGTGTCGTCACGAGCCGCAGGGTTTAATTTGGATTTGTCTGTGCATGTTTTTTTTACACTCCTAGATTTTGTTACCATTGCCATGCATTATACGACTGACAGACTGCAACGGCTGGAGTTAAAAATCATCAAATGTGTTCCGCTGAAGAAACAAAGTCACCTAAGCAGATAAACATCACATTTACATTTTTGGGTGAACTATCCCTTTAAAATCCCTTTTCAAACCTAATAGTCTTGACATTATACTGACACAAGTTTAAAAAATAAACTCACCAGTTCACATAAGCAAATGCAAAGAAAAATCGCGTTTAAGTTTGAAAAGAGGGCCTAATTTGAGAACTTACCTTAATCATGAGTTCGCGCTTCACTAAATACAATCTTAATTAGTGCTAAACAAGTCGATGTGAAATCTGATTTGGCGACAACAGTCACAAGAAATCGAAATATCATTATAATTTACTTTAAGTGAGCATTAGAGAATGCGTGTCTTTATTACAAGAAGATAAAGTACTAAATCGTTACACTTATGATGTACAAAATGACATCTCGCTCGAGACAACATCGAATTAATGTTGTTTTTATAAAATGAAGCTGAAAAGCTTATGGAAGAAACCCTTTGTTTAACAGAACCAATTTTAACTAATAAGAAAACCCATTTTAGTTCAGTTTTCGAACAAACGTACAAAATTTAAGATACTCACCAACAAGATGGAGCCGCTCATAATCTTCAGATATCCTTCAGGTCCACCCAAACGCTGATTTCGACGCCAAATAACTTTAATCACGTTAGAATTTCGTTCAGGAGTGTATTCGATATCAGAATGGACAACTTTATACAGAAATAATCGATAATTATCATCTTCGCCATCCTGAGGTGATTCTCGCGGTCCTCGCTGCGTCACGTTGTCGTTACGGTTTGAATTTTAGTGGCGGGAAAGAAAAAAAACCGCTCATAAAATGAAATAAATAAATTACAAAAAAAATACAGTGTTGTATTTAATAACGCTGGTCTTATTTTTCTTTCTTTTTTGGCAAGTGTAAAATAGATTTAAAAAAAATTATAACACTCCTCACAAATCCCAGTTACATCCCTACTCGACAATGGAATGGATTGTTAACATTAAAATTGATTATTGGGACATTTCAACTATGCAGTACTTTTTCATGTCCCTGTAATATTTTAAGAAATTTGACTACAAATATCTAACCATTTGTAAACATGGAAATCATATTTTCTAATCACAATTTAGTGAGTTTGCAACTAACAAAAGGACCTTAATATCATCAACCACCATGAAGTGCAATCAGTATTGATGATAAAATGTAAACATGAACAAGTATGTGTTGTAATGCAAGTTAAAGAGCTCAAATATCATGGCACAACAATAATGACCCCATTAACTCATGACAAGGTTTAAACAGACTATAAAAGTCCCCCTAGAGAGAGTTTATTCTAATCTCAAGTCCTCTTTTAACGAAGAACAAGAGACAATGTTGCAACGACCGTATTGTTCACAGAATTTGCAGGAATCCGGCCTTTTCTTGCAAAACAAGTGACTGAAAAGCATAAAAATAGTTATCAGTTCTTACGTCGAGACATCTCGACAAATGCATTCACTTTGTAATAAACTGTTAGTTACTAAAACAACAAGAAAAGTGTTCATGTACACAAACATAGATCTACCTAATCTACGCGTCCTGCTTTTGGTTAACTACATCAACTGAAATGCTACGCTTCTTCGAAGTACGTCATACACACATTTCATCACATGAACGTTACGTCTCGGGTTACGGGAAGTTCAATGGCAGAAACCTGCCCCTTCAGACGGAGTATAAAGATGTTCGCTGGAATCACAAAGGCACAAGTGACTACAAAAATCATTCACTGCTCACAGTTGGCGTGTATTGGTAAAATGCTCTTTCCTTTTGGTCAAGAACAGGAGTAGGTCGTTTTCATTCACGGTTCTGGCTAACAAAAGGTCTCCAGCTGGATTTGAAATCGCCATAATTGATTCTGATCACCAATTATGGAGCAGACGAGGTCTATAGAAGCCAAAAAATGGAAGAGTTCATATATAAAACAGACAAAGTCCCACAAGAATCTAACGGGAGGACGAGGAGAACATCTAATGCCCCCCAACACCATGGCGGTCAATACAGGTTTAAAAACAGGACCCAAATGAAATGCTTGGAGTTTTGTTTTGGTACAACACTGATATGTTGTTGAAACACCTGGCACAGATTTCGAAGAGTGTTCAGCAGTCCGCGGCGCCCGCGGGTAAAGCTAGCGGTTGTTCTTCATGGCGTCCTTGGCGGCCAAAATCAGAGGCGTGAGACTCGAGAGAGGCTTGGCCAACTTCAGGAAGGGATGCTGAAGGCGACAGCAGGATTGATCAGTGAATAAGTTCACACAAGTCACGCTATTATTCCTTAATCGCTAGAACTAGTCGCCAGCTGGTTTACCTGCAAAAGCTCTTTGCTTCCACCCCTCTTCTCCACATCCATCTCCAGACAGCGACTCAGGAAGTCTCGGAAGATGGGCGACAACTTTTCAGGGCTCTGCAACTCTGGAGTCCCGTTGGTGGCAATCAGGTAGAGCGCCTGAGGGAGAAAGAGTTCGGGAGTTTAGTTCCTGGAAGTCGCCACATCGCTAACTTTTTGGAGAACCAATAGAACTGCGTTTCCACTGTCGGGCCAAAAGCGGGCGTGCTAGTGCGTGCCAGTCGCGTTTCCACTGTCACTTCCGGGGTTTGATTGTGCTTCCTCGGGGCCAACGGCCCAGAGAAAGAGTTCGGGAGTTTAGTTCCTGGAAGTCGCCACATCGCTAACTTTTTGGAGAACCAATAGAACCGCGTTTCCACTGTCGGGCCAAAAGCGGGCGTGCTAGTGCGTGCCAGTCGCGTTTCCACTGTCACTTCCGGGGCTTGATCGTGCCTCCTCGGTGCTTCCTCGGGGCCAACGGCCTGGGTTTTTTGGAAACCTTGGGCCAAAGCGGGCCAACTGGGGCTAGAGGAGTGGCTATGAACAAAGGCGGAGTTTCTACGTGTCTGGAGAGCGTCAGTGCCGCGGATCATTTCATAGAGTTAACAGATAACACCACCATCAAAGACTTTTAAAATAAGTTGAGCTCAAAACTCCCTTTCAGACAGCAGCGAGTGTTTGAAACTTCTGTTTGAGATCCAGTGTGGATTATGATCACCATACAAGGCCGAAATAGGTATTTATAAGCGATGCATAAGACTATGCACGCTAGCCATTAATGTTACCATAGTAAACATGGTAAACACGACCGCTTGAAGAAATCAGACATCAGCTTCTCATTCTCTATCACAATGGTGTATTTATTTAGTTACATTTTATCTGTCATAAGTCTTGTCTCGAAGACTTAGCTCCGCGTACATCATAAAAAATATTATAATAATGGTTTTTGTTCGGGAGCTCCCTCTGCTACTCGGGTCGTATTTTTTTTTAAATGGAAAAATATAGAAATGATCAATCTTTCTAAATGTGATGTATACTCTGACTACAAATAAACAGAAACAGACTCGACTGAATAAGTAGGCTGTGTCCTCTTTCTTTTGTGAAATAACAGTTCATACCGCTTTATTTCTGACTAATTTTCAATTCTGATCAATTAATTCAATATGATCTTTGCTTATGCTTTTGGATTTAAATCTTTAACCAAGCATGCAAACAAACGGACGCTTTTATCATGTTCGTTTTGTGATCGCGCTAGTTCCAGTGACTTTCTGATTAGTTTTCTGATAACTTCTCTTTGTTGGTGAAATGATGGGGTTGCGTGACGTTGTTCCTGAGAGGCGTGTAAAGGGCGGGTTTTAGTGAAGCGCAGCGGAGCTTCTGGCCCGACGGTGGAAATGCATCGTGATTTTGGGCTCGGTGCTACAGGTCCGAGGCTATTAGCCCACCCGGCCCGTTTAAAGCACTGGCTCGCACTGGCCCGACAGTGGAAAAGCGGCTAATGATACCAAAGTACCCTCAGTGGATTCTCATTGAGGTACGGCGGTTCTCCCTCCACCATCTCGATAGCCATGATGGCCAAGGACCAGATGTCGACTTTGGGTCCGTAGGCTTTGCGCGTCACGACTTCCGGAGCCATCCAATATGGCGTCCCCACCATGGTGCTCCTCTTACTCTGTTCAGGAGTGATCTGGGCACAGAATCCAAAGTCGGCTGCACAGTAGGAGATGAAAAAGATGGTTTAGAGAAATTTCATGGTTTGTTTTATTTCATTAACGACTTTTATGGAATTTATAGACCTTAATCCCGTTAGATGCCATTTTTAGCGCCAATAACATTTAGGATGTAAGAATTGTAGACCACTGGGTCATATGGTTGTGTACTTTGGTGTTGATCACGAAGATGGCGAAAGGCAAAAAAATACATAATTCTAAAACCATTCCAGAGGACATGAAAAACTAAATGTAACCCAAGACGTAATGGGCCCCCATTTATGAAACGACACCAAATTGTTCAGTTAAGTAAATTGAATGAGAGAGTAAACAAAAATATTGTTTCATAATCAATTTACACATTTTGTTTTGGCGTTTTGCATGAATAAGGCCCATTCATAGCCTTGTTTTCCTTAGCGTCTAATTAAACATGGCATCTACCCTGTCTAAAGTCAATCATCAGTTTTTATTGTGGGCTAATTTTATTCACTGCATGTACACTTCTGAAGAAATGTTGAGATAATAAAAAATATGTTGGCTGTGATAACCAGCGTACATCAAAATACTAATGAAATAGATGTATTTTAAATGCTGTTGGGTGAAAACCAAACACTTTATTCACTTGAATAATATCCGAACAGTTTATTTGCAGTTTCTTTATAGTCGTCAAGTTCTGGCTCACAAGAACTCAACTGTTCAGAACAAGCAACTAAACCAAACCAAACATGACGCTTTCTGCGTCTCAGAGTACCAGGTGTGAAAGCACCTTTCAAAGAGTTTGCGCCTAATCACAATCAACATCTTTGTGCTGCGATCTAACCGAACTTCACACTTCAGTCCGTTTCCCCTCGTAAAAACCAGAGTGTTTGCATAAAGGAGCAAGAACGTACTGAGCTTGACAGAACCGTCCATTCCCAGAAGCACATTGTCACTCTTGATGTCTCGATGAATGACCTGATTAGCGTGCAAAAACTCCAGCGCTTGCAAACACTGTGAGATAATAGACAAGAGGAAGTTTATTAGTTAAGCGACAGGGTTACTTCCTGTTAACACATACTAGTTCTCTTTGTTGGTGAAATGATGGGGTTGCGTGACGTTGTTCCTGAGAGGCGTGTAAAGGGCGGGTTTTAGTGAAGCGCAGCGGAGCTTCTGGCCCGACGGTGGAAATGCATCGTGATTTTGGGCTCGGTGCTACAGGTCCGAGGCTATTAGCCCACCCGGCCCGTTTAAAGCACTGGCTCGCACTGGCCCGACAGTGGAAAAGCGGCTAATGATACCAAAGTACCCTCAGTGGATTCTCATTGAGGTACGGCGGTTCTCCCTCCACCATCTCGATAGCCATGATGGCCAAGGACCAGATGTCGACTTTGGGTCCGTAGGCTTTGCGCGTCACGACTTCCGGAGCCATCCAATATGGCGTCCCCACCATGGTGCTCCTCTTACTCTGTTCAGGAGTGATCTGGGCACAGAATCCAAAGTCGGCTGCACAGTAGGAGATGAAAAAGATGGTTTAGAGAAATTTCATGGTTTGTTTTATTTCATTAACGACTTTTATGGAATTTATAGACCTTAATCCCGTTAGATGCCATTTTTAGCGCCAATAACATTTAGGATGTAAGAATTGTAGACCACTGGGTCATATGGTTGTGTACTTTGGTGTTGATCACGAAGATGGCGAAAGGCAAAAAAATACATAATTCTAAAACCATTCCAGAGGACATGAAAAACTAAATGTAACCCAAGACGTAATGGGCCCCCATTTATGAAACGACACCAAATTGTTCAGTTAAGTAAATTGAATGAGAGAGTAAACAAAAATATTGTTTCATAATCAATTTACACATTTTGTTTTGGCGTTTTGCATGAATAAGGCCCATTCATAGCCTTGTTTTCCTTAGCGTCTAATTAAACATGGCATCTACCCTGTCTAAAGTCAATCATCAGTTTTTATTGTGGGCTAATTTTATTCACTGCATGTACACTTCTGAAGAAATGTTGAGATAATAAAAAATATGTTGGCTGTGATAACCAGCGTACATCAAAATACTAATGAAATAGATGTATTTTAAATGCTGTTGGGTGAAAACCAAACACTTTATTCACTTGAATAATATCCGAACAGTTTATTTGCAGTTTCTTCTAACCAAAAAGTTACGAATTTAACGAAAATTGGAATATCGCATAAAACTTTGCACAATTAACACTCGTAAACCTTCATGGTATCATTAGCTATGTTTCTAACCAAAAAGTTACGAATTTAATGAAAATTGGAATATCGCATAAAACTTTGCACAATTAACACTCGTAAACCTTAATGGCATGATTAGCTATGTTTCCATCCAAAACTACAAATTTATCTTGTGCGAAAACTGGAATATCACATAAAACATTTGCACAATTAACACTCTTAAACATTCATGGCATCATTAGCTATGTTTCCAACCAGAATTAAAGTTATGTGAAAAGTTGCGTAAAACATTTGCTCAATTAACACTCAAATTTCATTAGCTAGTTTTTCCAACCAAAAGTTACAAATTTAGCTTGTGCGAAAATTGGAATATCGCATAAAGCATCTACATAATTAACACTCTTAAACATTTACAGTTCCAAATTTAAGTTTTACGGAAAAATTGTGATATAAAACATTGGCACAATTAACACTCGTAAACCTTCATGGTATCATTAGCTATGTTTCTAACCAAAAAGTTACGAATTTAACGAAAATTGGAATATCGCATAAAACTTTGCACAATTAACACTCGTAAACCTTCATGGTATCATTAGCTATGTTTCTAACCAAAAAGTTACGAATTTAACGAAAATTGGAATATCGCATAAAACTTTGCACAATTAACACTCGTAAACCTTCATGGTATCATTAGCTATGTTTCTAACCAAAAAGTTACGAATTTAACGAAAATTGGAATATCGCATAAAACTTTGCACAATTAACACTCGTAAACCTTCATGGTATCATTAGCTAGGTTTCCAACTAAAGTTAACTTGTGCTAAAAATTGGAATATCGTATAAAACATTTGCAAATAAAGCAATGTTTCCATTCCATGTGTTTAAGAGAACAAATGTGTCACTTCTTGGGAAACTGGTACAAAGTGTCAATAATAAAAATGAAAGTTGTTTTTTTTTGGCTCTTTTTTTGACCATAATCAACTACTTACAAAATGAAAATTTCGAAAATTAAATTACGGATGGAACAATAACAAACGCTGTTGTGTTAACTTGCATTTGGACATTTCATAATGACTAAAACAACCTTCTAGATGGTGTGCGATGAGATTTGTGCGCTAGTCTGTACATTTATCCAAACACACGATCTGTTGAGGCACGCAACGCAAGTTTTAGTTCGCGAATGTATTCGGTAAATGCGTTTACGTCATAGTTTCTGTGCATGTCTTCTTATTGGATAGAAAATATACAATTCAAAAGTTTTACACAGATTTTAAGCCCATCTTGGCATTTCCATCCAGCTTTTTGTTTTTATGCAATATCCCAAAATTCGCCTAAAAATGCTAAATAGTATCCAATTATTAAGGTCAGCTTGGAACTTCCCGACCTGGAAGTGAAGGTCAAGCTCACAAAATTAAAGAGCATTTACCTGTCTAAGAAGTTGACAATGTTGGGATTCTTTAGCTCCTTCATGACGAGAATTTCGTTGATGATTAGCTCTTTCTTGGGCTGCTTCTGCAGGTTGATCTGTTTGATGGCCACCTGAGAGACAGAAACGTGTTGAGATGACGAAACTGTGGAAGAACAAACAACAACGAATCCGTTTCGCTCT